ATATATATGTATAACTAATATAAGTAATCTATAGAATATATATATATATATACACACATACTATGCATAAACTATATAAAGTAATAAAGTATATAGTTTATAAAAACCCTATACCCCTAAACAATATGCATAAACAATAGTTAATATATGTAACCTATAGTATATGTATACATGTAAACTATATATGTAACTTATAGTACATGTATGTATGAATTATGCATAGTATATACAAACTATATATATATATATAACCTATAGTATATGTATATATACAATTTATTTATACGTTATATAAACTATATATATAACCTAGAGTTTATAAACAATTACTCGTATTAGTGTACTATATAGTTTATATTAATGTTAATTATCTTAACTATAATTTATATTAATATAGTAGATAGTTTATAATATATACTATATAATTTATTAATATTAATTTTATAGACTATATTTTATATTAGTATTAATATTAATTACAAATTATATTATATTAATATAAGATAGTATTAATATTAAATATATTAATATTAATTTTAAATAGTTTATTAATATAGATTTGATAGGAATGAAATTGAAGCGCCAAAAATAGTCATTTGCCCATTTTCTCCCGCCTATTCCCGGCCAAACCCTCCCTCCTTTATTTTCGATCTCTCTTCTTTCCCGCTCAGCATCCAAAAGCTCTCCCTTTTCTTCCTGGCCAAACCCTCCATCCTTTATTTTCGGTCTATCTTTTTCCCCGCTCAGCATCCAAAATCTCTTCCTTTTCTCTCGTTTTCCCTCTTTCATTGTTGTTTCCGTTTGGAGAATGGCGATGCACCATCCACAGTCGCATATTTCCTCTTCGGCCTCGGCGTATTCTGCCGCTGTGGCGTTTGATTTCAAGCCGGTAAAACGCCATAGCAGTTACAACTGCGAAAGATGTAGGCTTTCTAAGAAAGGGCACGTTTGCCAAGTCAATAGTGGCACCAGCCCTACTTCAACTTCCTCTCCGACGTCGAGTCTAGCCGCCAATGCCATTTAGAATTGCTCATACGCATCTCCCCTCTTCAGCCCCCGCACATTTTCAAGGTTATGGATCGTTGAACCCATTTTAGTGGTAGGAATAGCTAGATAGGTATTTGAATTTCAAATTCATCTTTTTAACTTGAATTTTAACTAGTTTAGTAATTTGCATACAGTGTTTGCATATGTTTCTCATAATTTATTTAGTAAACTAAACTTAATTAAACTCTCATTCATGTTTCAAAATGAAGTGTCAATGATTTTGTGTGTGAATTAGATAGTTTGTGGAACATATCTTTGAGTTGAAGAACAATTGTTTTGCTCAGTTGTACTTTTATTAGTTTATGATCCCATACTAATATGTTTTTGTTTTTATGTTTCTCGTGAAGGCTGTAAAACAACTGTTAAGGTTGGATGCTGAGAATCCGGATTCACATCGCTGCTTGGTATTCAATATTTGCTATTTTGCATTACCATATTGTGCACCAATATGTGCAAATACATCTTTTTTTTTCTTTTTTGAGTTAGTTACAAAGATCATCCAGTCTGTATGCTGCTTATTCGAATTGAATGCAATGTCACGGGCTAGAAACTTGGGTCCGAGACATTGGTGTAAGCGTCCGACCAAGAGGTTCAATATGGAGAATCGGACTTACCGTGACCACCAGACTTAGCCAATTCTTGGAGAATGCTTAACAAGTCCGTGAAGAATCTATTCCGAGGTGTCCGAGAGGAGCGACGAGGGCGATGAGGGCAGTGTTGTCGAGGCTCGTGGATTCGAACCGAGACATGTGAGCAGATATTTGTAAGAGAATTATACAGACTATTGGGCTTGCCCAGAACCATCAGATTTGGCCCATTCCTTGGAGGATTCTAGAAGGATAATGTTAGGTGGGATTTCCTTGATTTAAGGGATTGGGTTAGGTGGGAATCAATCCTAGCCCTTCATGTAAAACGATCTTAGCCATCGATTGAGAGGGAGCTCCCCTATAAATAGAGAGCTCTCCTCCTCATTTGTAATGACCCAATTCCATTCTTCTCTTTGTTAGAGAGTAATAAAGCTCTGAGGCATTTGCTCTATCTTTCTAAGTTCTTTAGTCTTTGTTCTTGTTACCTATCTTGGTGGCCAGGAGTAGCCACCTTCGTGTTAGCACTTCCACACGATAGTCCGACCTTGTGGCTCCGAGTAGCCACGTTGGTGTTTTAAAGCTTCCGCAATCCGAAGCCTTGAGGGCTTGGTTCCAACCTTTGTGAGTTTGCACACTCACTTAGCTTGGGTAAGGCTTACTTAGTCGCCGAGAAGACCGAGGAGCGTCTAAAGCGTCTAAGGCTGCACGACCCGTCAGACCTTGACTCTGATATTCCGATGGTGGGAGGCGTCGAAGTTCTGGGGGCGTGACAAGTGGTATCAGAGCGTTTCGTTACGAGCAAACAACGATCGTTTCGACCAAGTTTGGTGGAAGGTGCAAAACCGGGTAAGTTTGTTTTACTTACTTTCAATCAATTTACTTGATAATTGAAATGGGGCACAAGAAAAGAGGAGTTTCTGCACGTAAAGGCAAGGAGTGCCATGGTGGGAAACGGGAAGAGAGTCTGTTGGGCTCAAGAGCATCGTCGGTGTCCAAGCATGAGGATGCCATGACGAGTTCGCAAGGAATGTTTGAGGCAACTATAACACACCAAGGGGAGCCGGTTCTCGAGGTAGAGAGGCTCAAGGGTGATGCCGAAAGTATGTTCGAGTGAGATGATACGTTCTCTCATGAAGACGAGGAGAGTCTTCACGAGGAACAAGAAGAACTGACGATCGACGAGAAATGGGCCTATTTGATGGAAGGTTTGGCTTTCCACACGCAAAGGTTCATCAAGTTGGAGGAGATCTCAACTTCGTGGGAACAAAGGGTCGGGAGACTTGAACAAGCTGAATATAAGGCCAAGCAAACCCAGGGTGTTGTGGAATCCCGCCTTGATCGATTAGAGTCCATGGAGGGCAAATTCAAGGTCGAGACGCAACGAGTTCTTGATGAGTTGGAGACGGTTCGAGGGAGAAATGCCCAAGAAGCCGAGGTAGCAGCTTTGAGGAACGAGGTGGATGATCTCAAGAGGGAGCTACTCATATGCAAGGGAGAAATGAGTGAATGGGGTGCGCTCAAGACCTTCTTGGAAGGACTTAGACCAGGGGCGATGCTCGGGGGAGAGCAAGGTGATGCCCAGAGATTTTCGGAAGCCATAGCTGTAGCCGGAACGCCGACTGAGCTTGCAGATGTCAAGCCAAAGAGCGATGTGTCGTCCAGGCCCATGCCCAGGGATAGTGGCAACAATGGGGGAGACCGGGAAAAGGTGCAGTGGGGAGATGGTAGAGAAAGCTCTTCGAGTGGCCAAGTTGAGCCATCGACTGTTTGCGGCCAAGGAAAGCCATCGGGAAAGAATGGCAAAGCCAAGTTCGGGGAAAAGAAGAAGGGGAGCAAGGAAAAGCTGAAGTGCTACTTCTGTGATAGTCCTCACTTGATTAGAGGATGTCCCGAGAAGCGTCGCCTTACAACCATCATGAGGATGATGGGAGAATGAGAGGTAGCAAGAGTTGGCGGAGGCACAAGTAAAAGTGCCATGTCAAGGGAAAGACTTGGTCCGATTGATGGGATCAATGCGGCCAAGCAAGGATCAAGACGAGGCAAGGCTGTCGATGATGAGGCGGTCAAGCCGAGAAGGAAGACAGATGTGATTGTGAATGATCGAGCAATCAAGTCAGGGGCAAGACTTGACGAGGCTACATGTTCCAAAGTAGCCGAATCAAGGGGCAAGCATGGTGAGACTACAAGTTCTCAAGTAGTCAAGCAAAGATCGAGACGTGACGAGACTGCGGGTGTCAAAGCAGTCGAGCACAGGAAAGGACCCGGTGCGATAGCAAGTGATAAAGCCGTCAAGCCGAGGGTGTAAAGTGAGCAGGTTCGCTCACAGTATGCCAAGATGGAGGCGTGGTCCAAGTTGAGGCGCCTCAGGTATAAGGGGACACTGAAGGAGTATGTGAACCGATTCAGAAGACTCATGCTCAAAGTCCCAAGTTTGACTGAAGAAGAGGGATTCTTCACCTTCATGTTCGGATTAAAGCCATGGGCAAAGTGAGCGTTGGAGCGAAGGGAAGTCAAGGAGCTGTCTAAAGCCTTGACAACCGCGGAGTCCATCAAAGAGTTTGGAGTCAAGAAGAACAAGACTTCTAAACCAAATCCGAAAGTCGAGGGTAACGGCAAGAGATTCCGCAATGAAGGCAAATCGAAGAATGAGGCGTCCGAGAGGAGCGACGAGGGCGATGGGGGCAGTGTTGTCAAGGCTCGTGGATTCGAACCGAGACATGTGAGCAGATATCTGTAAGAGAATTATACAGACTATTGGGCTTGCCCAGAACCATCAGATCTGGCCCATTCCTTGGAGGATTCTAGAAGGATAATGTTAGGTGGGATTTCCTTGATTTAAGGGATTGGGTTAGGTGGGAATCAATCCTAGCCCTTCATGTAAAACGATCTTAGCCATCGATTGAGAGGGAGCTCCCCTATAAATGGAGAGCTCTCCTCCTCATTTGTAATGACCCAATTCCATTCTTCTCTTTGTGAGAGAGTAATAAAGCTCTAAGGCATTTGCTCTATCTTTCTAAGTTCTTTAGTCTTTGTTCTTGTTGCCTATCTTGGTGGCCAGGAGTAGCCACCTTCGTGTTAGCACTTCCACACGATAGTTCGACCTTGTGGCTCCGAGTAGCCACGTTGGTGTTTTAAAGCTTCCGCAATCCGAAGCCTTGAGGGCTTGGTTCCAACCTTTGTGAGTTTGCACACTCACTTAGCTTGTGTAAGGCTTACTTAGTCGCCGAGAAGACCGAGGAGCGTCTAAAGCGTCTAAGGCCGCACGACCCGTCAGACCTTGACTCTGATATTCCGACGGTGGGAGGCGTCGAAGTTCTGGGGGCGTGACACAATGCACAGATTAAATTTTTCCATAAGGTTGACTCGATGCTTCCTCCTGTCTCTGATGCAGAAAAACTTGTTTGGAGTGTCTTAGAAGCCGAGCGCCCATCCATCAGGTTCTCTTTGAAATGGCTTTATGATAGCTATTCTCCCAACTGGAATTTCATTATGTTATCAGTACTACATAATATGAAAATGGAATTGCAGGACAAAACTCTTACTAAGGCAAACAAAGTTGTCCTTGGTAAACATGAAGGTAATTGGGCTTTACATAATATGATGCAATTTAGGCTCCATGAGGTAGTGTTAATAGTCGTTTAATATATACTTCTCTGTTCTGCAGATTCTTTGATGCATAGAGTGGCAGTTGCAGAAATTTTGTATGTCTTGGATCCTACTAAGAAACTTGAAGATGTTAAGTTAATTGAAGATTCATCCAATAAAGTTGTCTCAAAGTAATGCTTTTAGTGTATCAACTTTTGTGACTTTTTTATGTTGATTCCATGTAATTCAAAGTGATCTCATTGTTTCTCTTACTAATTCAGCAATGGAGCACTTGGAACAGTAATGAGGTGGAAACTCAAGGACTGTATTGCAGTCCATAAGCTTAGACTCGATGCCTCCTCCAGTCTCTGATGCAGAAAAACTTGTTTGGAGTGTCTTAGAAGCCGAGCGCCCATCCATCAGGTTCTCTTTGAAATGGCTTATGATAGCTATTCTCCCAACTGGAATCATTCTGTTATCAGTACTACATAATATGAAAATGGAATTGCAGGACAAAACTCTTACTAAGGCAAACAAAGTTGTCCTTGGTAAACATGAAGGTAATTGGGCTTTACATAATATGATGCAATTTAGGCTCCAGAGGTAGGTTAATAGTCGTTTAATATATACTTCTCTGTTCTGCAGATTCTTTGATGCATAGAGTGGCAGTTGCAGAAATTTTGTATGTCTTGGATCCTACTAAGAAACTTGAAGATGTTAAGTTAATTGAAGATTCATCCAATAAAGTTGTCTCAAAGTAATGCTTTTAGTGTATCAACTTTTGTGACTTTTTTATGTTGATTCCATGCAATTCAAAGTGATCTCATTGTTTCTCTTAATAATTCAGCAATGGAGCACTTGGAACAGTAATGAGGTGGAAACTCAAGGACTGTATTGCAGTCCATAAGCTCTTAGACAATGTCTTACTTATCAAGATGTTACTTTGAGTGAGTATATTTCTAATTCTCCACATAAATTGGGGTTTACTAAAATTTGGGCCAAACTATTAACGTATTATGAAATTAATTGCTCTGTTATTTTATAAATGTTTTTTTAATAAAAATCTTAATGATATTGAAATTTGGTACACTGTATTTTATACTGTAGGAATAGTTGTTTCAATATAATGCCTTAATTATTTTCCCTTTATATAGATATGGTTTCAACATCATTTAGTGCTCTTTTATATGATTTCAAAGTCATTTCTCTGATTAAACCCTATTCATAGGTATCTTATTAGACAAATGCCGTACTTCTGAAGACAATTTGTAGTAGTAGTCTCTAGTCTTTTCTTAGGTTTTGATATTTCTTGTTTCTGGTCTCACTTGCTGGACATATTTAGTGCGCACCCTTTTGCTCATTCTCATTAGAAGAGTTGTCAGACCTGAGTATATGACAGTCTGTCCTACAGATGGTGGAAATTTGCATATATGCGCTATTATAATGCCTTCTGATGTTTAGTAATTTAGTGGTTCTTATTTGTTGAATCTCAATGCAGGCTTTATGTTTGAATTGTAAGGATTTGGTAAAGTCGGAAATGTTTGGCACTGTTAGCCATCGAATTCCCTTTGGCTTTACCACTGATTGTATGCTTTCTTAATGCAGGATATTTGCTGAATGATGCAATGATGCTTGCTGAATTGGTACATTAATGCTTGCCGGTTGTGTTGTCTATTACTCATTGATGCCTTGTAAATTATTGTTGGTTGACTTAAATCAATTTTTGAACCTTATAAATTCTTATCTAAATAGTTACTCATGTGGAATTATGTTGATGGCATTTGGCTTTTAAAGTTAGAAAGTTACTCATAATTAAACATGTTCAGCATTTAGGTATAAAAACTCGATGATGATATTTCTGGTAGTATATTTAGATTTTTTAGCCTTGTAAACGTTAGCTATAAGATATGAGTATTTATTTCAACATAAATTATTTGTTTAGTTGATTTTATTGTAATTTTAGTGTTTTCAAGTGTAATAAAATACTTTCATTTATAATTTTTTTAGTATTTGTAATGTTATTCAAGTTTTTAATCTTTAATAAGTTTTAATATATTTTGATTTTAAAATTCAAGTTAAGTTTACTAAAATTATTAATCAATTTTCACATTAAAAGTAAATTTGATTTATGAATATTTAAACCAATTAATATAATTTAATAAAATCAAGTTCATAAGATAATTTTAAATTAATTTAGTGATTATAAATAAAATTGATAAATAAGAAATATAAAGAATATTATGAATTGGAATTAAGATAAAAACTAAATTTTAATATACAAAATTTAATTAATATAAAATTAAATTTCAAAAAGTAATCATAATTTAATTATCATAAGTTATTATAAATTTAAAATAACATAATTATATTAATGTAATTTTACTAATAAGTTAGGATCATATCAGATTACTTAACATGTTATATCATTTACAGGTTGAAAATAGGTCGGGTATATATTTATGTACCAGGTCAATCTCGGGTTCGGGTTCATATCAGTCGGATGCAATTCGAGTATCATTTCGGTTCAATTCGGGTTCAAGTCGTTCCAGGTCAGATGCAGGTCGGGTTCAGATCCACAATTTTCATGACCAACTCGGGTTCAGGTCAACACCAGTTTCAACTTAAGTCTATTTTCGATCGTCATAGCGCATGTCAAAAATAATTTTAACTTGAGTCGGTTTCAGTAGATGTAGGTTTTTAATATTTTATGTGTGTGTGTTTGTTTCAAGTAAAATAGGTTAGTCACATAAAATCAATTACAAGTCAAAGTAAAAATTCTCTCTTTTTTTTTCGTGAAATGATTTATCGAGTGTTTTACGATAAATCATTTTCTCAATTCTCTCAGCTCTCATCTTCTTATCTCACCATTATCGTTTCTTTCTAATTTTCTGTCTCTGATCGATACTCTCAACACTTTTTAACCAATGACTTTTAATTACGACCTCACCATCATAATTCTTATAGATAATTTTTCTTTTGATCTATTTTACAAAGAAATTATCGTGAATCATTGTTTCAGAAAAAAAAAAACTTTAAACCTTTCATAACATCAAATTCATTTAATTTTAATTTTTATTAAGAAATTATGGATGTTTTCAAGGATTTGAGTCTTTTTTTTTACTTGATTCCTACATAATTGACACATCTCTTGACTAGTGATACCAACGTGAATATTCAAATTAGAATAATCATAAAATACTATGACGGGATGTTTTAATTTAGGGTTAACTACTTCAAATACTACAACATTTAAGTGTTGACTCGTTTATACCACCAACGTTTTAGTTTTGCCAATTTTAACACTAACATTTACTTTTAAGTGCAATATATCACTCCGCCGTTAATGATTTAACGACACGATGACTTGGCAACGGTATGTTGTGACATCGTTGATGTGGATGCCTCATCTAAACGACGTCGTTTTGATGTTTATGTTTTAATGCCCAGAATACCTAAAATGATGTCGTTTTGCTTGAACCCTAATTTTCCTAGGGACTAAACTCAAATTTCCCATTATTTTTTTCTCTTCTTCTTACTCATATTCATCTCATCTCCTTTTCCATGGTTTTCTTGGCAACCAAACTGTCACCATCTGACAGCGACACATTCGTTCATCGCTAAATCTAAGAACTTCTCAACGAAGGGTTATCGTAAAATCTGGCATCAACTCCATCAACGAAAGATGAAGTTTGCCTTTTCTGTTTGTAGCGAATAACACTTGCACGATGCTGGTGAAAACACTTCCTTGGCTTTAAATATACAAAAAGTCTCACTCCGATGAAGAACAAAACAATGGTGACAACCGAGCAAAGCGTTGGGATTCAAGCCCTAATGCCCAACTAATATCATTTTGGATATAAACCACAGTAGTTTGAGCGATCATTAAGATGACCGTTTGAGTGTTTTGAGCGATCATCAAGATGACCATTTGAGTGTGTAGTATAAATGTAGAAACTCTTGTTTTCTTTTCGTTCTTCTTCGATCGTCAAATCGAATTGATCAACGGTGAAGGGAACACAACAAGGTTTGATTTTCCGTTTTTCGATGGATAATTAGAATATCTCGATAACCAAAACACTGAGTTGGGCATTGTTGTAGGGTATGCATTAGCCGAGTTGCAGTTCCTTGTTAGCTTACGACGGAGGGTACAACAGTGAAAGTAAAGTCGTCAACATCGTGATTATCATTCTCTACCAATCAGTGGTTGAAATCACATGTTATTGATTATGTTCAAATAATATATTTAAAATTTAGTTAAACATGCATGACTTAGGATATATATATACACACACCAGGATAATTGACAAGGATCCTAAACAATGGTCCAAAATTTGCCGATGAATGCATCGGAAAATATGCATCGATTTTATGGCGAACAAAAGCGTTCAATGAAGGACAAGTTCTCAGATTTAGCGAAGAACGTCATAGTGAAGATGATAACCGAAAAGATAAGGTGTTCCTGACGAGATAAACGACGAACGATCCAAAAGATGCCAGATGGTGACCATTTGGATGTCAAGAAAACCATGGAAAATGAGATGCAGATGATGATGTGGAGGAAGAAGAGAAAAAAATAATGGGAAAATTTGAGTTTAGTCCTTAGGAAAATTAGGGTTCAAGCAAAACGACGTCATTTTGGGTCTTTGAGCACTAAAATAGAAACGTCAAAACGACGTCGTTTAGATGATGTATCCACGTCAGCGACGTCACGACATGTCGTTGCCATGTCATTGTGCCGTTAAATCATTAAAGGCGGAGTGATATAATTGCACTTAAAAGTAAACGTCAGTACTAAAATTGACAAATTAAAATGTTGGTGGTATAACGAGTCAGCGCTTAATATTAGTGGTATATGAAGTAGTTAACCCTTTAATTTATTGAACACAGTAAATCTTATATGCAATTAGGTCTCCCAACAACTACGGGCAAAATCGATCAAATATGACAGAATTCCTATATGTTGTAGCTTTAAGATTATTCTTTTAAATAGGGTACCTTGAACAGTAAAAAAAAAAAACACACATGGAGTTCTGTATAATCCTGGGAAGACGCATGGAACAATGGGCTGAGAAGGCATGAGTATGCACTAGTCATGGGAGCATGAAGAAGACGTAAAATATTTCATGCGTCTTCACGAAGATACAAGATTGTCTAATTGTCTTTCCAGTTTCACTGTTCCTTTCACTATGATTAAAAAATAATTTTTCATGCACATCAATGGAGCAAATTTTTTCACCATATTATCTGAGAATATTGCCGTGATCTACTATTATCCTAATAATTTTTGCTTTGCGGAGACGATGGCGTTTGGATCACTGAAGTCGATTCTTTTACAAGCAGGGCACCTTCATGCGATTTTGATATACTATTGGTCGTATATCTTTAATATGCTTATATTTTTCACATGAAAAACATATAATAGGAAGACATTCATATTTAATTATCCGAATGCGTTCATTGATAACTAATTTAGAGACTAAGAGCTTGTTTAAATCAAGTCTAACGACCACTCTCGTAAAGCGACCTCCCTTATCTCTCTCTGTCAGTTTGATCATTAAATTTAATAATATGACTAATATTCTCATTTATTTCAATGACGAAGTCTCTTTTAAAATAATTGGTAAATTTATAAATAGATCTAAACGTTCACTTTACATAAATAGGGTTGAAAAGTTGAAAAATCTAACCTTGAAGGTTCAACTGGCAATAATGGTAAAAATGTCAATTTGAATTATGGGATTATTTTCGCCTTTTATAATGTATAGGGTTAGTTTGCTAAATTTTATGTAAAGAGACTAAAAATAAATGATATATTGTATAGGGACTGTATGCTACTTTTACCCAAAGTATAGGGGTTTGTTTATTGTTTTCCCCCAAGACAAACTAGTGTCTCTTAGCGATTGACCCACCCAAATTCTCATTCGGATTTTGACCCAAATCTCATCCATAATCCAAAATCCAAACTCCGATCCACTCTCCTTCTCTCCTTCAGGTTTTTGTCTGTTATAAACAGAATCCAAACCCTAAAACCTTCCGGATCATCCGATTGGACCAACCTGTGGAGCCAAACTTTGGTTATCTGGGTATAATTTATTTTCCTGCATGTTTTATTTGATTGAATTTTGATCGAATCCCTTTGGTATTTGGCAAAATAAACAGTTTTATTGATGGGTTTTCTTTTCAATATTAAAAGCTTTATCTTTTGAGAATTATTTATCTGAATTGAATGTGAATTTGGTGCTTTTTATCTTTAACTTTTGTTGGGATTTTGTTATATTTGCGTTTAATTCGTTAGAAGAACCTTTTTTTTTGAGGAATTCAATTGAAAATTGGGTTTTCTTAGAATTGTTTATCTTCAATCGACTTTCATTTTGGTGGATTTATTATAATTAAAGAATTTTATTGGCTGCTTTTCTTTTCTGGAACTTGCCTAAAAGTTTGTCTTTTTAATCGTTGCTTTGCTAATTGTTTCTTTTATCTTTAGTTAGTGGATTTTTTAATATTTCTTTTATCTTGTTAGTGGATTTTTAATATTGTTTTGTGTCTTTAATTTTTTTTTATCAATGATCATTTGTTCTTACAAAGTTCTAGATAAATACCATTTCCGAAAAAAGGTCGAATCACATTTTTCTTTGAATAGAACCTATAGATTACATTGACAACATTTTATTTGGAAATAATATTCTCCAAGTAATTGCAAAGGTAACTAAAGAAGTTTAAGTTCAGTACGCTTTGGACGAGTTCTTGAACTCTATTACGAGCTACGCCTTTCGGTTGCTGCTATTAGCCTCCATTAAATTCCTACATAGAGAAGGAACTTGTCTGGAAATTGAATCTAGAACTAGGATACGGTTAAAACATTTGCCTCAAGTGGCTTGGAGCCTCTTCTAATTTTCGGATTTGAGTTATTGAAAACAAAGAACTATATGTTACTATAGATTAGAACAAATTTTCAGCCTTACAGTGTCGTCTTATTGACGGAGTTGCAATGGAGATATTTTGTGAAATTATTTTCTTTTGATAGCAGATTTAGGATGAAAGTCAAGATAAAGAAATCGTCACTTGTAATTTTTCTCTTAACATAATTCTTATTTCTCTCGAATTGTGTGTGCATGCGTGGTTGGAGGTGATTTGGGAGAAATGAAAGTAAATAATATAATTCTTGTATGACTTTGCCAATATGCCAATTTGTTTTCAATAATCATGTTTCTGAAACTCTCACATTGTATGTGAATCATGGCGTCCCTGTATATCTGTTGTTGCAATCCAAACAGTGTGATATTGAATTTACTTCATATAACTTTCTCCTGCGGTTTTGATTACTTTCCACACTCTCCCATGGTTGTTGGTATTTTTTCTGCTCCGACTTATCCTAGTTGCAAGGGTACACCAATTTGCATATTGCAGCACTTGGGGAATAAAATTGCATTTTTGTACTATGCTGCTTGTGCTTTTTCAGCAACTTATTATCAATACTTAAACTGGATTTTTATTTAACACTTAATGATTCATTCATTTTAGGATTAATTGATTATTTAAGGTTCTTTTGGTGCGTATTTGATGTTTCATGTCCTGAAGTTATGTTGTGAATTAATCGGTAGTTTATTCAAAAGGCAACTATTTTGACATATGACTTCACTTTTAATATCCAGACTTTGGTTCGTTTGAAGCCTATGCGATGGAAGTGGCTAATGAATCCACTGCTAAGAAACCAAAGAGATTGACTTCTGTTGTATGGAACCACTTGAAAGGGTCAAGAAAGCTGACATATGTTATGCAGTGTTCATTGTAACAAGAAATTAAGTGGATCGAGTAATAGTGGAACCACCCATCTAAGGAATCACTTAATGCGGTGCTTGAAAAGATCAAACTACGATGTTTCCCAACTACTTGCAGTGAAGAGAAGGAAAAGGAAAATACCCTTACCATTGCGAATATCACTTACGAAGGGCAAAGAAAGGACGATTATATGAAGTCCACTATTGTTAAGTATGAACAGGACCAAAGAAAGGATGAAGCTTTCAATCTTGGAAGCAGTTGGTTTGACCCTGAGAGAAGTCGGTTAGATCTTGCCCGTATGATTATATTACATGGCTACCCCATAGCCATGGTTGAACATGTTGGATTCAAGGTGTTTGTCAAGAATCTGCAGCCGTTGTTCGATATTGTGCCAAATAGCAGCATTGAGCTGTCTTGTGTGGAAATTTTATGAAGGAGAAGCAGAGAATTTATGATATGTTAAGTAAATTGCAGGGTAGAATTAACCTCGCCGTTGAGATGTGGTGTTCACCTGAGAATTCTAAATACGTATGCTTGACAGCACATTATGTTGATGATGATTGGAAACTACAAAAGACTCTTAATTTCTTAACACTTGATTCTTATCATACTGAAGACATGCTTTCTGAAGTAATTATCAAGTGTCTACTGGATTGGGACATAGACTATAAGTTGTTTGCCATGACATTTGATGATTGCTTGACTAATGATGACATTGTCCCAAGAATAAAATATCGGATTTCTGAAAACAGGCCGCGTTTAAGCAATGGTCAACTGTTAGATGTGCGCTCAGCCGCACATATTCTGAATTCAATTGCTCAAGATGCCATTGAAGCTCTCCATGTGGTCATACAAAAGATTCGAGGAAGTTTTAGATATGTTAAAAGTTCACAACTAATACTAGTGAAGTTCAATGAGATTGCCCAGCAACACGGAATCAAGAACCACAAGAGCTTAGTTCTCGACTGCCCTATACGATGGAATTCAACATACATGATGCTCGAGACTGCTGTAGAGTACAAGAATGTGTTCCATCGCTTTCCAGATCTTGATCCTGACCTTGCTTTAAGTGATGAAGAGTGGGAACGGGCAATTCAATTACCTGCTATTTGAAACTATTGGTTGAAATCATTAATGTCTTTTCTGGCAACAAATGTCCTACTGCAAATATATATTTCCCTGAAATTTGTGATGTTCACATTCAATTGATTGAATGGTGCAAGAGCTCAGATGGTTTTCTTTGTTCATTGGCAACAAAGATGAAAGCTAAGTTTGATAAATATTGGAGCAAGTGCAGCCTAGCTTTGGCTGTAGCAGCTATCTTAGATCCCCGATTCAAGATGAAGTTGGTTGAGTATTACTATTCCCAAATTTATGGCAGTACTGCTTTGGAACGAATCAAAGAAGCATCTGATGGTATCAAGGAACTCTTTAATGCGTACTCTATCTGCCCGACTTTGGTCGATCAGGATTCAGCTTCACCTGGCAGTAGCTTACCTAGCTGTAGTAATGATACTAGATAGACTAAGGGTTTTGACAAATTCCTCCACGAGACATCTCAGAGCCAAAGTTCAATATCGGACTTGGAAAAATATTTAGATGAGCCCGTATTTCCTCGTAACTGTGATTTCAGTATCTTGAATTGGTGGAGGGTTCACACGCCGAGATATCCAATCCTGTCGACGATGGCACGTGATGTGCTAGGAACTCCTATGTCAACTGTTGCACAGGAGTTCGTGTTCAATGCCAGAGGCCGGATGCTTGATAGCGTGTCACTGACTCCTGATACTCAACGGCTTTGATATGCCACGAGATTGGTTACGGACACAATCTGATGGTACGTGCATTATTCAGTGATCTCGTTTAACAATCATTTCAAATTCATCATCTCTTAACAGTACACTACTGTTATCAATATAATAGATGCAACGCCAGTGCCGGGCCATTACGCTCTACCCCTTCACGTTGAAGCAAATTGATCCAGCCTTGCCTGCTTGGTAAGCCTCTGTTATAAATTCTTACCCTATTTGCTGATTTTGCAAGTGCCCTTATTTTTTATGGGTTTCTCATGCAAGGTACAGGGATCTTTTCTTAAGCTAATAAGATTGCATCTGATTGCATTGAAGCACTTGAACTTTGAATGTTGATCAGATTCTATTTGATAATGGTGTTTCAATGTGGCTTATAACCGTGACTCAATTCAAAACAACCCTTTGTTATGGTTGATGTAGTTATTTGAGTTGTTTATAGTTGAAAGATATATGTTGTTCGAACTCCAATTCGGATAATAAAATGCACTTTTAAGTTCCTTCCGGGGCCCGTAAAGACAATTATTTTATTATTATGTTATTACACCCTAAATAGACACTCACAAAGGGATGAAACCAATGACTGCAAAGGGCAGCCCCACAGGAGGATGATTTTCTTGCCGGAACACCCGAGGGACAGCCGGCGGTCGCCTCTGGTTGCTCATATCAAAAATGAAAAAAAAATGTAAACCTCTTTGCCAAAGCTCAAATCCGTCACGTTTTCGAACACCAGGATCGCAGAGACATCAATGATATTTAGAATTGGCATAATAAGATTATCGAGAGAGTTGAAAACTATGGAGATCTTCCAAAAGCATTTTGCAAGGCACAGTCCAATTGGTTTATAATTTAGAAAAGTAATTGATTTTTTCAATGGTATTATTGAATATCCTTAGAATCCTTGTATCATGGGATTATATATCTCACAAGTCATCATATTACACGAGTTATCAATTTTCTTGTTAGTGATAATAATGATATTTTATTTATGATAAAGTCCACAATAGTCTATCTTCAATTATTTAAAATTATAAAATAATCTCTCAATTATAGAATTATATTTTTTTCGAAGTGCGTGATTTTAATGAAAAAGTTTGATATATATGTCCTCTCACATTACAGATGACACAATTAAACTAATGGAACATGGGAAAAAACCATCAATGTTTTAAGGAAGTAATTATACGCTTTTGTAATTACGAGGAACTATAATTTTATACAGAGTAAATTACAAAATTCATCACCAAACTATCTCCTCAATTTACTTTTAGTCACTATAGTTTAAATTTTTTAATTTTACTCACTGAACTTTCGATTTTTATGACATGCCATTTTTATTTTAAAATTTATAAAATGAATCTAAAACTTTCTTCATTTTTGTGAGGAAAAAAAAACTTATAGTTTGAGTTCCCTTTTTAAGTTCTTGATGAAGAAGCATATTCTTTCAAATCCCAACGATGGAGAGATGGAGAAGGAGAAATGGGTTCTATACCTTATTTCACGCTGATCGAATGATAAATATCTTAGATCAATGTGATTTAAGGTTTTACAAGAGCTAAAGATTTTATGCATGTTGTCTTGTAGACTGCTGCAATTTAAACCACCACTCGAACATGAGACCTCAAAAATATCTTAACCATTTAACATTACAAATATCTAGATTCTTCTAATAGATACTTCTAGACATAATATTAAATAATATAAATCTTCATTATTTCATTTATATTGCTACACATGTACGCTTTCTATTTTAGTCTAGAATATTCCTAAGATATATTTCCTAAATAATAATTATATATCTAGAAGTTTATCTGTCAAATAAATATCTCGAAATGATTATAAATTTCTAATAATTCTCTTCTCATATTTCTTAATTATTCTTAATTAAGACATAATTTATATTTATTAAGTCATATACTTGATAAAAAATCATTATATTCTGTTACATAGAACGAGAATTGGGCTTCAAGCTATAATATTTATGATTTGCAGCTCCTTTTACCTTTAATATTCATCATAATAGTTCACCATGCTTAGGCGGGACGACTGAAATTCAATGTAGATAGGGTTGTACCCGATTTTTGGGTTGATAATTTCGAGTTGACTCGAGTGGTTTTAAATAAGCCCAAGGGTCCATCAAGAAGCTTTGGGTCAAGTTTGAGATATTTGGGCTTGGGTTGAGTCAAATGAATATAAAAGAGTATTTTTTATTTGGGTTTGAATGAGAAAAAAGCAAGGATGTAAATAACCCATAAAATTATTTTAAGACTGAATTCTATTTATGATGGATGATATAAACGGGCAAGAGTTTAGGAAAAATTGAGTTCTTCCCTTCATTTTCTTCACCTCCCTTGCCATCTTCTTCCTTTCGAAACTCTCTCCCTCTCCTCTTGTAGTTTGAACGAAGGTGGAAACTTGCTAGACTAATATCCCTAGATCAAAATTGCTAAGGAAAGGAAAGTAATCAACACCTTTAGAGATCTCTTTCAGGCTCTCCACCTTCATTTGGATGTACGGTGTTGATGCTGATGTTGATGCGACTTCGAGTTATACCTTGATGCTTACCTGTGTTGTGTGTTTGATAAATTATTGTCCATGACCATATTTGTGGCATGCTCATGTGGTGAATGCATGTAATATAGTAGTGTTATTTGTGTGGCGTTGAACTTGTGAGTTCAATGTTCGAAATTCGTCTACGTGGGCAGGTTCTTGGGCGCCAGATTTCAATAGTTAAGATCTCAAAAACTTAGTGGTGATATTATGAAATTGTTGCTCGTGATCTTCGAAGGCCTTCTCCCTCGTGCAAAGTGAGAGTAATGGTCAAGTTGATGTGTTCCGATGCCTAGTGCTGGATGTGAATTTCCTGGTATAGAAGCTTGAAGTTTTTGCGGTTTTGGTTTTGAGGGATGGCATTTGTTTGTACGTTTAGTGGTTGTTGGCAGCTATCTTCGGTTTTGTTATTAGAAAGAAGATATACACTCAAGATCTTAACCAAGAACATATAACAAACTGATGATAGAGTAACAGAAAAAAGAAACTATTCTGAAATATTATTGAATACTCAAAAACTATCCTTAATACAAACAAATCGTGAGCCTTTGTAGTTAATCAATTGGGTCGTTAAGCTCAAACTATTTGTAACCGTTTAGCTACAATAATAGACTAACTAATACATCTAACACACTTCCTGTTCTCCTCTTCCTTAGCTGAGTAAAAGAAGGTGTAGACAATGGTTTTGTAAGAATATATGCAGTTTGATTTACAGCATGTAAATAGTTAACCAACACAGTTCCATTCGTCACTTAATCGATATTGTCTCACTTACTGTGTTAGCTAAACTTCTGAATTCTTCGGTTAAATCGAGAATAAATTATCCAAGCGGTAAAGTCGATCATATATTAAAACTAACAATTAAAACAAATCAAGGCTTAAACAATTTTTTTTGGATAAGTAAAATCTATTCATCCAAAAGAATGCAGACAAGCTGCTACAAACGTAACCTCGAGGTAATTACATCAAACCCCAATCTATACACAGTTGCCTATTTGCCTCATCCAATCTATTAACATGACATCGATACATTTTAATTTTCACAGCTTCTTTTATCCTACTTACAATAATTCCAGTTGAATGAGCCGAGCCTCTAAAGATCCTATAGTTTCGTTCTTCCCAGGTAAAATAGATGAAACCAGTCCAGGCCAACTTAAGGAGATAGTGTTGTGGAATTCGGGTTAATTTCCACCAATAACAGATTCACCTTCGAAACTATTATCTAGGTGACTAGTGTGAAAACGATTGTACTAAAAATCACCCCAAGGTATATTCTCAGGAAAGAGGAGGGGTCACAATGGTCCCTCTTAAAAACCCACTTTCCTTAGACAGAATTTACCAAGACAAGTAATTTTAATAGGACAATAATTAACAACAACGATACCTGGCAATAGCTATTAAATAGAGATAAAAGAGAACACCAAAATATTTCACTAATAGAGGAAATATTACAAAGAGAGAAAGAATACAAATAGCCTTTAATATAGAAGAAGGCTTATATTTGTGGGATGATTAACTAAGGAGGAGGATGGCTTTATTTATAACAAAAGAATTTCCCTTCCTCCTTATACACAACCAATGTGAGACTTTGCCAAAAACCAACAAATCTCCACCTTGGCAAATTCCACACACATCTCTAAAAAAACAATCTTTTAATTTGTAACAATATTGACCAAGTCTAAACAATGTTTAAACTTGACCGCGGTTACCACTTTTGTCAACATATCAGCAAGATTCTCAGTGGTCCGAATCTTCTGGATTATGACTCCACCTTCTTCTAGAATCTCTCGTACAAAGTGATATCGAAGATCGATGTGCTTCGTCCTTGCATGGTAAACCTGGTTCTTTGCTAAATGAATAGCACTCTGACTGTCACAGTGCACTTTGATGTGCTTTTGTTCCATTCCCAATTCACTAAGCAACCCTTAAAGCCAAATTGCCTCCTTCACAGCCTCTGTAACTGCCATATACTCTGCCTCTGTAGTAGACAAAGCCACTGTTGACTGTAAGGTGGACTTCCAACTGACTGGTGCCTTTGCAAATGTAAACACATAACCAGTAGTTGATCGACACTTGTCCAAATCACCTGCATAGTCTGAATCACAATACCCAACTACACATTGACCGTCTTGTTTTGTCCTGCTGAAAGACCAAACTAACATCTACGGTGTTCAGAATATACTACAGAATCCATTTCACAGCTTGCCAATGCTCCTTTCCAGGATCATGCATATACCTTCTCACAACCCCAACTGCCTGTGAAATATCGGGTCTCGTACACACCATTGCATGCATCAAGCTACCAACAACACTTGCATACGGAACCTTTGACATGTATTCCCGTTCTGCATCATCTTTAGGTGACATTGATGCACCGAGCTTGAAATGAGGAGCAAGAGGTGTACTAACTGGTTTTGACATCTCATTTATGCCAAAACGTTTTAGTACCTTCCTCAGATATTCTTTCTGAGACAAACAAAGCCTCCCCAATTTCTTATCCCTTGATATCTTCATGCCTAGAATCTTCTTCGCTTCATCAAGATCCTTCATCTCAAACTCCCTGTTCGATTGAGTCTTTAGTTTCACAATTTCTGTCTGACTCCTGGAAGCTATCAACATATCATCAACATAAAGAAGAAGATATATATAGGACTCGTCTTCTAGCTCGCGTAAATACACACAATGATCATATTTGCTTCTTGTGTACTTCTGCCCTATCATAAACTTGTTAAATCGCTTGTACCACTGCCTTGGAGATTGCTTCAATCCATACAACGATTTTTCTAATTTGCACACTATCTCTTCTTTTTCAGCAACTTTGAATC